CTCTTTCCCCTTCTCTCTCCTTGCACCCTTCTCCCTCAAAATACTCCCACTCTAATTTCTCTCTCTTCAATTTCTCCGTCCACAGTTTTCTAAGTCCTAATCACTAAAAAAATAAATAAATAAAAAAAAGCATCAAAGTTTGATCTTTGATCAATATGGGAGACCAATATTATCACCCTGTTCTAAGAGGCAAGAAAAATAATAGTATTTGTGCTATGTTGGTGATCATGATTTTGGTAGTGTTGTCGGTAGAAAATTGTAGAGCTGCTAGGTTTGAGCGTTGGGAGTCTGCGATTCGCATGCCTACTGATAAGGATGAATATTCTGACCAGGACAAAGAACTCAGCACTAGATGGGCTGTTCTTGTGGCCGGTTCTTCTGGCTATGGAAATTACAGGCATCAGGTATACATATATCTATATATCTGTATGTATATAATTTTTTTTTCTTTTATTTTTTTTGACAAGATTAAGATAATGAATTTTAGTGTACAATTAATGGGTTTCTCTTCTTTTTTGTTTTGTTTTGTTTTTTTTTTTGTTTTTTTATAAATCAAGCACTTATTTGGTTTGCAATTTCTCTAAAAAAGAAAATTTAAATTTATGTTGGAACCTATGAACCAAACAACCCATGAATTGACAGGATGATGATGAATTTTCTCGTGTGGTGTTGTAGGCTGATGTGTGCCACGCGTATCAGTTGCTGAGGAAAGGAGGGGTGAAGGAGGAGAACATAGTGGTGTTCATGTATGATGATATCGCCATGCATGGGCTCAATCCAAGGCCTGGCATCATCATCAACCATCCACAAGGTGATGATGTTTACGCAGGTGTTCCTAAGGTACAACTTTTTATTTTTGGTTTTTGTTTTTATTCATTTTTATTACTTTATTACTTTATTTATTAATTATTTACATTTTTGGTTATTGGTAATGGGAACCAGGTGGTAAACAAAATGATTGTGTTAGGAGATATTAACATAAACTATAGAATAGTTGCACGGAAAGCTGATACAACCCTTGCTTTTTAAAAAAGTTTGATGTTAAAAAAATGTTTTAAGGAAACATGGGTGGGCCTACATGAGTTTCTGCGAATCAGGTCAGGCCGTGTTTTTATGTTTTACTTTTTTTTGAGAAAAAAAAAAAGAAAAAACGTTGTTTTTAAGACGATGTTCGGCGTAATAAAAATATTTTATAAAAAATAAAAATAAAAATAATTTTTTAATTTAGTGTAAAATAAGAGAAAAATAAAATACGATATTTAGACATTTTTTATTTTTTTTTTTGTTTTTTTTTTTCGAGCATAAAAAAAGAGATACATTAATGAGTTTTTTTACACTGAAAGTAATCTTTTGATAAAATTACTAAACACATTTTTAAAAATAATTTATGTCTGAGATTAAAACGTTTTCATTTTTATTTTCATACAAAAAATAAAATCATTTTATACGAATTTTAAACGCGCCCGATTTTTATTTTATTTTTTTTGTTTTTTTAATAATCATGCGAACCTTTGTTTTAATAAATAATCGGTAAAAAATCTTCCATATATGCTTAAAGGAGAAGAGAAAATCTTTTAGGCAAAAAAAAAAAAAAAAGGAGAAAAAAAAGAAGGGTGAAACGGAACGGAACGACTTTCATTAATTTGTTCAAGAGAGAATATTTTACTTGGATGAAGTTATCCAACGACCATGTATTTCAGTATATACACATATATATATCATCATAATTCATAAGAACTATATGGTAATCATAGTTACAATTGTTTTCTTGATGTATTAATTCTTGGTGAAGTTACTACGGCCTGTTCATTTCGCTGATTCGAGTTTAAAAGTCGAGTTTTGCTCAGTAAAAAGCTCTCATAAACAATCACATCTAACTTTTTTGCTACAGTAAAAAGCTCTCACATAAAATCACATCTCAACTCGAATTAAAAACTCGAATCAGCGAACTAAACGGGTCCTACACTTCACACAAGCTTATTGCATAATTCCTCAGAGTTTATTTTAACTTGTTTGTTTTAAATTAACTTGAAAAAAGCTTCAGCCAAAAATATCCAACTCAATATCAGGGCATAAATTCCTATTGTGCTGACAATTGATCAAGACTATGCAATTCCTGTTGAAATTGCCTCTTACAGCGAATCTCTTTATTTGTGTTTGCTACTACATTTGAAACCAAAGTTCGTCAATGACATGAAATATTTATCAAGCTTTGGTTTTCTTATTACCAGCCCTTGATTGGTTTCATGTACTCTGGATTGATCACACAAAATTGATAATGTAATTGTGGCAGGATTACACAGGGCAATATGTAACAACCGAGAATCTATACGCCGTACTTCTCGGGGACAAGAAGGCGGTGAAAGGTGGTAGTGGAAAGGTTGTTGACAGCAAACCCAATGACAGAATCTTCTTATACTACTCTGACCATGGAGGCCCTGGGGTTCTTGGTTAGTCTGATCAGAACTTTCATTCATTCATTGTCAACGTCATTTTTTTTATATTATTGTATGAAAAATGGAACATGTGAATATTGAGTTAAGTTTTTATATTGTATAAAAAAAAAATCCAACTTGTGAAATGTAATTATAGGCCTGGAACAAATTAAAAGCTAACATGTTCCACGTGGTAACGGTTTTGAAGAATACTATTATGATGGTTTTCAAATACTTGTGACTTTCTCTTTTGAATCAATTCTCCCAAAAGCTAAAACAGTTTTTATGTTCTAACGATCTTTGGTCTCTGAATTTATTAGATCAGAACTCAAAACTCTTTTTAAGTCAGAGTGTTGGACCAAGTGAAAACACGATAACTTTAGCCAATTTGTGTCTTGTTTTGGAACTATTTAATGTTGGTAAGAGTAAAGAGAAGGGTCGCTTACATTTTCCGATATGATTAATGTAGGAATGCCAAATATGCCTTTTCTATACGCCATGGATTTCGTTGAAGTTTTGAAGAAAAAACATGCATCGGGGACTTACAAAGAGATGGTAAAGGATCTAATATTCTTCCACATCATTTGGTCCTCACACAAAGTGAGATCTTTTACATGACATACATATATATATTGCCTTTGATTTCCTTTGTAGATCATATATGTGGAAGCATGTGAGAGTGGAAGCATTTTTGAAGGTATAATGCCTAGAGACATGAACATTTATGTGACAACAGCATCAAATGCACAAGAGAACAGCTGGGGAACCTATTGTCCAGGGATGGAACCTTCCCCGCCACCAGAGTACATTACTTGCTTGGGGGATTTGTATAGCGTTGCTTGGATGGAGGACAGGTATACTTGAAACCACTCGTCCATATGCCATAGGAAACCAGAATAACAATTTTCCTTAAAGAATAATGTTAGGGGTTCTAACTTCTATTCTAACTTTTAATCCCAATTGATATGACACGTTAGTTATAACTGGTAGGTGCTTCAAAAAATGTCACATGAGTTGGTTTCAAAATGTTGATAATACTGATAAAAAGATGACAACTTACTTGTCATGTGTGAGTTGATATGGAAAAAGTTAATTAAACTTTGCCTGAATAGTAGTAATTAATTGATTTCCTCCTACATTCTTTTTGCAGTGAGACCCACAATTTGAAGAGAGAAACAATCAAACAACAATATGAGACAGTAAGAATATCGATTACGTCGAAAGTTCTTTTATTTTCTTTTTGACTTTGTGATCGAGGTTGAGAATGTACGATAATCTTTTCCATGCAGGTGAAGAAAAGGACTGCGAATGCCAACGATTTCACCGCGGGTTCGCATGTGATGGAGTACGGGAACAAAAGTATTAAAGGCGAGAAGCTTTATCTATACCAAGGTTTTGACCCTGCCACGCTCAACTTCCCACCCAATGATCCTAACAAACTCGACATGCGCATGGAAGTTGTTAACCAAAGAGATGCAGAGCTCTTCTTCATGTGGCAAATGGTAAGCTCATTTTCACAATTTCTTACTTGGAAAAAAAAAAAAAAAAAAAAAAAATTGCCCCATGTTGGGTTTTGTTCATGTGTTTAAGAATATGTAACCTAAAAGTCTACTTCCTTACCTTTGTTTTTTGTTTTCTACAGTACAAGAGAACAGAATCAAGGAATAAGAAGAGAGAAATCCTGAACCAGATAAAGGAGGCCACAAGGCACAGAACTCACTTGGACAAGAGCATAGAATTGATAGGATCACTTCTCTATGGACCACAAAAGGGTTCATTGGTCCTCAATTCCGTGAGGTCACCTGGTCAACCACTAGTAGACGACTGGGCCTGCTTGAAGTCGATGGTTAAGTCGTTCGAGAGCCATTGTGGGTCGTTGACACAATATGGCATGAAACACATGCGTGCCTTTGCCAACATATGCAATAGTGGCGTCTCCGTTGCTTCAATGGAAGAGGCTGCTTTGGCTGTTTGTAGTGGCCACGATGTAGGCCAATGGCATCCTTCGAACGGTGGTTTTAGCGCTTGATTATAATGAATGTTTAAAGAAAAAGGAAAAAAATGGAAGTCCTATGCAATCTAATGTGATAGAAAGCTGGTGCATGTATGTAGACCCTAATGTTGTTAAAGTGAGAGAGAAGATTAGCAATGTCTTGTCTCTCTAATGCGTCTACTATCTAATATTAGAATTGCTTCACTAGTTGTAATTACAGGTTTAGTCTAGCAGTAAATTCACAACTACTTGCGTTCACCTTGACCTTCACCTCGAGAAGGTCGAGGTTAAATCTGTTTCGCGCTCTGTTGATTCTCACAACTACTCGCGGTCACCTAACTTTCACCTCGAGAAGGTCGAGGTTAAATCGCATTCTGTTGATTCTTTAAATTATGACCCCATCAAAAGGAAAAGAGAATGATCCAACTGGAACTATCCAAAAGAGAATGATCCAACTTGAACTATCCAATCGGTTAAATCTGTTTCGCGCTCGAGAATGATCCAACTAGAACTATCCAATCTGAATGTGATGAATACAAATGGCAGTGTGTTTTTCTCTGTTAATTCTTTAAATTATGGCTCCACCAAAAGGAAAAGTGAATGATCCAACTAGGACTATTGATGAATACAAATGGCAGTGTGTTTTTCTCTAGTGTCTATTAGCTAGAAACTAATAGAAGAGCTCCACTATATTCGTCAATTATGGGCCAAGAAAAGGGAATGTGACTGATCCAACTACAAGAATCCATACAAACATTAGAACGTATTCCCTTATGCCCAAGTGGGTTTTGGATTTTGAATCTCACAGATAGGCTTTAAGACGGAGAAACCATTCCATTGATTTATTCTAGCCCACAAGCAGTAAAGAATACGACAATTCATGACGTTTAGTTGATGGATTCAGAACTATTCTCGATTTGGTTGATGGATTCAACACTATTCTCAATTTACGTGTATTTTTTATGAAAAAAAATACTGTAACGAGCCACGAATTATGAACCAAACGTTAGTGTTGCCACTAAAGGCTGAAGAAAATAGAAAGATAATGGAATATTTTTTTTCTGTTTTTGGAAATAGTTTTTCCTAGCATGTTTAATGTGAATTTTCTTTTCAGATATTAAAGTTTCCATTTCCAATTGATTCTTTCCTTTAATTTCTTTAAGTGTAAGTTTTGAAATTCATTCACCAATTCTTTTATCTTTTCCCCTTTTTTTTATATTATTTGGTTAAGGCCTAAGCTAAAATGTTTAGCACTGCCACGTTTCTTTTCCTTCACCATCCTTTTGCTAACTCTCTTATAATCAACAGTTGTCATGACTCATGTCGGCCAACGCGGTTCATAGTCCAAATTCTCTGAAATAGTAACCTTTGCCCTACCCAAAGGTTGGGGGTGGGACCGTAAATTTGGCCCCAAAAAAGAAAAATTAAAAAGAAAAAAGGAAAAAAAAAAAAAGAGCAAACAGTAAACGGCAGAGCCCAAGTCCAAGATTGGATGGAAGGTTCATTAGATTTCGTGTGATTAGGGACCAAAATGAAGCAAAGCACGCCAACTTGAGTCCTAAGCGAAGACCCGTTTACTTTTTATGTCACCATTCACTGCATTACTGTGATGATCCTATCATTGCTTTTGACCAAAACAGTGCTTAATTTCTCTTGTTCACTTTTTCTTTTAGTTGCTATCTTTTATGAGTTAATTTTATAAATAGTTCTTAAAATTTATTCTCAATTTCATTTTAATTTTTAATTTTTAAAATATTTCATAATTCATCCATAAAATTTTATTATATTTTAATTTTAATCCTTTTATTAACTGAGTGTTAAATAGTTAACGAAATATGTATAAATTAGAGACTAAAATTGAAAAAAGTTAAAATTTTAGAGACTTCTGTGAAAATTAACTTTTGTTTTTTGTATTCCTTTATTCCCCTAACTTTAGATTTTCAATTTTAGTCCTTAATTTTTCACAGATTTCGTCAAATATATTTAACACCTAATTAACAGAATGATTAAAACTGAAACAAAAAGGACAAACTGTAAGACTTTTTAAAAATCAGAGATTAAAATAAGATTAAGGATAAACTTCAGAGATTATTTGTGAGATTAACCCATCTTTTAATGATCATATATTTGATGCTAAATTTCTGCTGTTGATTAATGACCACATGCCATTTAGGATAGCCTTTTCTTTTACTTGTGGTCAGCAAGACAAGGAAAAAACTGTAGCTTTTAAGTTAGTGTTTAAAATCATATATTTAAAAAAGCTTATCAAAATGATGCAAAATTTTCTTATAATTAGCACTAAAAATGTTATAACGAAGTTTATAACGTCTTATTAAGCTACAAGCGGCTTCCAAGAAGCTCTGCTAAATCTTAAGTTCAACAAACAAACATGACTTCTCTAGAAAGAAATAAATTAGCTAACAAAGTACCTCATAACGCTAATCCAAAATCTTTCTAGTTCACTAATAGATAGCTTAGATATAAGAGGTGGCTTTGTGGATTTAAATAATTTCGAAACTTAATAAAAAAGATGAATAAAGAAGTTGCACAAAATTGAAATCACTTCTCTGTGATTTGTTTGTTATCATTTCATGCAAATCTTTTCAACGAAACTGTAGGTCTTAAGCCAGATTTGCTGCAAACGTACCAATTTGAACAAATGTCAAATATCGGAACTTGCTTCCTTAAATAGAACTTGTCCAAGTACAGAAAAATTTTCTGTTTCTTGGTATTCCGATTCATCAACAGTAACACATGTTACACAACAGCTCGTCTCCAAAACCAATTATGAAAGTGGGATTTTGGAAAGAATGCTATAATTAGCATGTACAATTACAAAAGACATACATCGTATATTGCCAAAAGCATGGCCTATCCTTGTCTTTAGATTTTTATCTACAATGTCACCCCTATATATAAATAAATATATATATATATATATTCTCAACCCCAAATTAATATTCAGTGCGATACACTACACACGAGTATTTCTTAAAATGAAAAAAAAAAAAAAAACTGAAAAATCATTTTCATGAATTATGGAAAATTACTCTCATTGCGACCAATAGTAATCAGCCGGCTTACTTATACGACGCCGTTGGCAGTATTCTTCCCCGGAGGCAATCCTCATCTGGACCTTCTCAAACTCCGAGGCACCACATGGTATTGTGATCCGACCCGGATGGTTGAACCCGTAAACCTTCTCTGCCTCCTTCAGAAGCTCACCAAAAAGCGGGTGATTAAAATATATCACAGGCACCAAATACCTCTGCGTCTCGTCCTGCGACTCCCCCACGTAAACCGCCAGGTGCCCCTTGGGAATCCCATCCCGACCCGGTTTCTGATCCACCGGGTCCTCATGATCCAACGGCACGTAACCCGACTTAGGAGACGAAAAAGAAATATTACACATCGTGAGCTGTTTGACTCCTCGTCGGAGAAAACGAGCCAAGTTGAGGAATTTCGTGATGGGGTTTCTTTTTCTGTTGGAAAAGTTTGAGCTTTTTCTTGTTCTTCTGGGTCTGGCTATAACCCATTTGCAGATCTTCACGAGCTTGCCTCGAAGCTTGAATCCTCTGGCTTTTCTCATCTTTTCTGAAATGGGTTTTCGTTTTGGTGAGATGGGTCAGTGGCAGAAACTTGAAATTTTTCGGTTTCTGATAATGGTGGTGGGATTATATATTCTTTTGGAGGTTTTTGAGTTGAGGAATTTGGTTCCTCTGAGGAGATTGATATATAGAGAACTTTTTTGGTTTGCTTTTTTTTTTTAAGAAGTAAAAACACGTGTACAAGAGAGAGATTTGGAAATTATCAACAAAAAACGAGAGAGAGAGAGAGAGAGAGAGAGAGATTTGGCGCACACACGGTGTAGATTTTTGTGTGTGGAATAGGATTTTTATTTATAGGAATATCGACCAAGTAGGCAAGTGTATGTACTTATACAAAGGAATCTACAGTTGAGATAAAAAGTGGGAAATGAATGGTAAAATGATTGGTTTGAAACTGAAACTGGAAACTAGAAACTGTTTTATAAAATGATATAATAATTTCTACGGTAGGGACTTATTCTTTTGAAATTCTTATATTTCACTGTTTTTCATGATAAATATTATGAATATTATTATTTTTTTCCCTTTCTTATACTTTTTTTTAGTATTTCCTTTCTTGTACCTTATTTCATTATTTTCCTTGTAATATTTATTTTCTAGAATTTCTAGGCACCGGATCAGATTTATTTCAATTTTGAACGCCTATAACCCCATCCGCGTATCTATCTAGCCTATACATACATTACACACGTGTATACGTCCGGTTTTTACACTGACAGATTATTACTGTGAATTTTTTTTTATAAGCAATTATTACGTATACTCTTAATTATCAAATTAATAGACGTACGTATCACAATCGTGAACTAAAAATCAAATCGACGTCGTTCTTAGAAAATCGAAGAGTCACTTTTTTATTTCTTTTCTTTGGCTGGAAAAAACCAAAGAGTCACATACTGATTTCAAATATAATAATTTGAAGAGTCAATGAGCCACTAAATCATTTATTCATGATATATATATGTATAAGTGGAGACTCGCGGACACAAATTGATCTTATAGACTAATTTGCACAGATAATGTTGATTATATTTCGAATCAATTAATATTTAATTAAGTTACTTAGGACCCGTTTAGTTCGTTGATTCGAGTTTTTAATTCGAGTTTAGATGTGATTTTATATGAGAGTTTTTTACTGTAATAAAAAAATTAAATGTGATTATTTCTAAGAACTTTTTACTGTAATAAAATTTAAATTCTAAACTCAAATCGGTTAGATAATATACATCTTCTAACTCATCATACATTGATTGTTTTATTTCTTTACTATTTCCTTAATTTAAATTTCTTTTTCCAAATACATCATGTCCTTCAGGTACTACCTAAAATATGTGGTACGTTTCCTTCATTTGATCGACCAACCAACAAGCATACAGAAGGGGGAACAAATAAGTTGATTAAGTTTTCTTATTCTTGTTAAAAAAAGAAGAAAAATATACAATACATAAGATCTGTTTGGTTCATGGATTAGAACCATTTTCGATTTAAGTGTGTTTTTTATGAGAGAAAATACTGTAGCGAATCATGAATCATGATTCGAATCAGAGAACGAATCCTCCAACTAAACGGGTAATCAGTTTACACACGTACACAATATGCTACTAGACAACAAACCAAAAGAGAATATAATAAAGCATCGTTCATTTCACTGATTTGAATTTTCAATTTCAATTTTACTACAGTTAAAAACTCTCACAAAAAGTCACATCTAATTTTTTTTACTACAGTAAAAAGTTCTCATATAAAATCACACATCAACTCAAATTAACAAACTGAACGAGGCCTGAGCATATATAAAGCTTGAAAGAACCCCCTTTTGTCACTGAAAGAAGGCCTAATATCCGCCACAGATGTGATCCTTTTCTAAACAAAATGCTTCCCTCGTTTCAAAAATAATTTCTGACCTTATTTCCCATATTTGCCACATTTCAATAACCGAAGAAAGTAAATAGATAAATAAATATAAACTCAACAAGGCAGACTCTTGGGAGGAGATTTAGACCCCGTTCATTTCGCTGATTCGAGTTTAGAATTCGAGTTTTGCTACAGTAAAAAGCTCTCACAAATAATCACATCTAACTTTTTTGTTACAGTAAAAAGCTCTCACATATAATCACATCTCAATTCGAATTAAAAATTCGAATCAACGAACTAAACGGGCTAACTGATACTGCCTGATTGGAGGATTGAACTATGCCCGTACAAGATCGTAATAAGTGCTTGTTAAAGTTTCAAAACTGCCTGTTAATTTTCTTCCACTAATCAAAGCTAACGACTTTATAATTCGGTCTACAAGCATAATTTAACACTGTATAATTACTAAATAGGAGTTGACTTCTTTTTTCAAACAATTAGTAAATGAAAATTCACGGAAAGAGATTCAAATCATCTGTTCAATTTAAAGAACTGTATATAATGCTTTTAAGTATATACTTGCTTTTCCTTTATATATATATATATATATATAATTACTGGAGTTGACTTCTTTTTTCAAACAATTAGTAAATGAAAATTCACGGAAAGAGATTCAAATCATCTGTTCAATTTAAAGAACTGTATATAATGCTTTTAAGTATATACTTGCTTTTCCTTTATATATATATATATATAAGTTGTCATTATCTATGATCGAATCAACAAAAATTATTACTTTTAATAACAACAGGATGACTTGTAAGTAGACAGCATTTACATATGACTAAACAATGGCCCGTATTTCCTGGCATCGCCGTACGGAGTCCACATATAGTTGGCAACCACAATTTTTTATTTGTTGATTATGTGGTAATTATGAAGTTATATATATATATTTATTTTTTTTTAGGAAAAAAACTTTTATTGCTAAACCAAATCGACAATGACAAACGGAGCAACAAAAGCAGGGATATTATCAACCCCTTAAACATCAGAATCAGAGCGATAAACAGAGGACGCGAGAGTATGAGAAACTACCTTCGCCTCTCTACGGATATGGCAGCATTTACATATGATTATGAAGTTATATTGATTATTGTGTATGTATAATACGGGTGTACGAAATTTTGCAAGTAAAAACATTTTATCACTACACCGTCATATAAGTAAATTACCATAATTGAGTTATTTTATTCTCTTAATAAAGATGACCTTAGTGCTTATATTGCATTACACGTTTTATAACATATTAATTTATTTATATCATTAATTTATTTATATTTAGTTTATTTATATCCTTAATTTACGGATTCAAATAATTTTAATACATTATAATTTGAATTAGTGTACGGAAATTCGTCCTGACCGGCAGATTGACTTTTGATTATGTAGAGGGCAAACTAGCTAGCTATTGAAATCTATGATTAATTATTTTGCTTTGAGAAAATTTCTAATAAATAACAATTGATCATGAATTTTATGGTATCAATTAGTATCTTTTCTTTCTTCCTAATTTCTTAAATTTACTGTTTCCCATCAAATGATAACGATAAGGAGACGTGGCTCTTTGTGATTTGGTTGAACAAGTAAGAGATATAATCACTAATATTGTAAAAGAAAAAATAAAATGAGAAGAAGAAGAAAAGACTAGAAAAGTCAAGCTTGTACAACAATAATACTGACGGCCATTAGAAAGTCAATATTCGTAGTAAAAAAGTTAGATGTGACTGTTTTTGAGAATTTTTTTACTGCAGTAAAATTTAAATTCTAAACTCGAATTAGTAGAAAGAACGGAGCCAATATCCCTTTTCCAATTTGTACTTTTTTTCCCCGCAATTGAGGATGTCCATTGGCCATTTTCTGTCGATCAATTACCTTTCGGAAATTGCACTGCCTAAAAATTCTAAGCATGCATGCTTGTAACGAAGACTTTTCATTTACAAGGAATAAAATCTGGAGGAAACAATAAAGCAGAAAACAACATATAGAAGATGCCAAACCTGTGGCCTACACCTATAGATATTACATTATTTGATCAATAGATATTTCATTATTTGATCAATTGAATGAAAAGATAATTGTATGAAGAATATTATACTAAGTTACTAACCAATAAATGGAAAAGGTCGGTTAATTGTTTGTAATTCTTGACTTTAAATCTACTTCTTCCATAGTAAACTCTAGCACATCCCTAACAGTAGTGCCTTGAATTTCATTTCCTTGCGACGTTTTTGACATATTAGTAAAACTATAAATAACATGTTGATCAAAGAAAAATGATTTTTTTTTTAAATGAAAAAGAGGATTATTCTTTGAAACCTGTAATTATAAGTTCAAACCATGTGATGCCTTCATAACGACAAATATAGCCAACAATTATGTCTAGAAACTGTCGCATTAAAATAGTAGCAATTAAACAGTGTGGGGTATATATCTCACGGTTCAATCTCTATTTATATAACATGTTATTATCATTATTTTTTTTGGTTGTCTCTGCATGGACCTAAAGCATAGCTATTATTTTACATAATATTATAGCAAACATGCATGACACAGAATATACCATGTTTAGATCACGGTCGAAAACCTACTGAGCATATATACTAATTGTTAATGTGAAGTTTAGGTAGTTGCAAACTGTGATTTTGGACTGATCACAGTAGGCTCAAGTGTACATATATTTTAGTCTTGGCCATTGTCTTGTATGCAACTAGAATAATCGAGAAAATTAATTAGTTAATTAGAGAAACGACAATGTACCTATACGTGATATATATATATATATATATGCGTGTGTAGACAATGGTAAACATGAGACTACAAGAAATAGGGTTATTAGCGACGACAAAAAGTCGTTGCCAAAAATAGAAAGTCGTCGCAAATAAATTTTTAGCAACCACTTGTCGTTGCAAACATGTCGCCACAATTGATTTGTCATAAATTTTTTTTTGTGGTGCCAAGCCGTCGTCGCAATTACATTTGCGACAAAAATCGTCGCAAATGAGTCGCTATAATTATTTCGTTGGTTGCATTGTTAAAATGACATGATATTAAGTATTTACGATGACAATTTACGAATTACGTCGTCGCAAAAAACGCGAAATTAGCTAACGTGGCTTATATTTTTTGCTACCACATTTGTCGTCGCAAATAATATTTTAATTTTTTATTTATTTTTTCTCATTTTAATAATTAATGTTGTATATTACAATATATTTAAACCCAATATTAAATATAATTCATGATATTATAATAATAAAGAAGAATTAAATAAAAGGAAATAAATAATAAGAAAATAAAAATAAAAATTATTATAGTAAAAAGTAATTAATAAAATAAAATAAAAAATGTAA